GATGCGAAGCAGGAATGGTGGTGAATGGAGTTCAAATGGCTTGCTGCAGTTGCTCCGAGCTTTCTCGACTCATCCACTCATTGTTTAGCAGCTTGCTAGGCCCATTAATCTTGTCCATGTACTCGTATCAGTTTTTATTACCGCTCTCTGCCGAATGATTACTGCTTGATTTTATGCACTTCGTATCGAATGCTTTTCATTCAAATCAGAAAAAAAGCACCTCATTTGTAAATTACACCACTGTGCTTGAAGCCAACATCAAGTGGGTAATGGACAGAATGTTCTGTTTCTTATTTCGCGGAGACAGATTTCAGCCTGCTTCTTACCAGTTTAAATGGGTACAACACACGGTGTCAGGTGAAAAGTCTACAGTGTAGTTGGCACGTAAACAATATCTCGTCCGTTTCGTAGAATAGAAATGAACAGGTTCTTTGCACGTTTTGTGCTGAAACAGTTGCACAAAAAACAAATTGTCGAGATCCTTCTGTGTGTGTGTGTGTGTGTGTGTGTGTGTGTGTGTGCGTGTGTGTGCGTGTGTGTGTCTACGTTCCGAGTGCATTTTATTCGGGAGTTTTCAATTCGGGCACCAGAGAAGCTACAGAGATAAAATTTTAAGAAGGGACTAGAAAGTGTCCTCGAGACGACGCTCGTGCGTGACCTCGCAAACTCAAATTTGGCGTCCACGCCCGCTTAGGCTCCACGGATGGTCAGTGAAAGCTTTGGCGCTTAAATTATTAACTTATGAAGCACAGAAAGTAGGAAGTTGAAATTTTAGGAGAATGTTTTTTGCCCGTGTACTCGTACGGTTAAATCCAGCCTTCACTTACACCCAGATCTCACGTACGGTCACGTGAAAATCTTGGCGCAGAAATTAACTCGAAAACCAGGAAAGCTAGGAAGCTGAAACTTTAGGAGAATGTCCTTTGCCCGAATATGACCGCGCAAACTCAAATTCGGCGCCCCTACATGCCTGGACCTCACATGAAAACACATGAAATTTTTAGCGTCAAAATTAATAACTCGGAAACTAGGAAAGATAGGAAGCTGAAATTTCAGAATAGTGCTCCTACCTACGTATAAATTCAGCCATGTGCACGCTTAAGTCTCTGCTATGGATATGCGAAAATTTTAACGCTAAAATTAATAATTCAGGAAGCGTAAAAGTTAGGAGGTTAGAATTCTAGGATAATGCCCACTGCCCGTGCACAAATTCATTCCCGTGGACGCCCAGGTCTCGTGTGCGAACAAGTGAAAGCTTTGGCACCAAAATTAATGATTTGGAACCCCCCAAAGGCTTGGGAGCTGAAATTTCAGAGGAATGTCCCCTGCTCGGTACGTCCGCATAACTTTAAAGCCAGCCCTCATGTATGTCTTGGTCCCACGTGCGGAAACGCGAAAGTTTTAGCGCGAAAATTGTTATTTCAGAACAGAAACCCAGGCTGC